TGAACTGTAATAATTACATTTTTTATGTAAAGTAACTGTTATTAGATTGATCAATAAAAATTTTACGTGCTCCAAACATTGTTCATGTGTTATTAGATGCGGGCATTTTCGTTTAATGAAAACCTTTAAAACATATTTTTGGAAAAAAATTGGCAAATTTTTTTTACAACTATACTGGAGCCAGTACTTATCAACAGTTTTCATTGAAAAGGAAGTTATTTTAGTTAACAATTTTGTTGGGACTTTTAAGCTCCCCTCGTTTAGATTAATGTTATAGTCTTTATTCAAAATTAATAACTGTTGTTTATCATTTAAATTTCGCGACCCCAAAAAATTTGCCTGACAATGTTCGCAATTAAATTTTTCCATTAATTTTTTTACAATATAACCAGCAAAATATGTCGTTGAACACTCTTTCAATTTGATTATTTCCGTTGGCGACTGGCTTTTCGTGGTTGATTCGGATGACAATGAGGCTAAAGACTCATCATCGCTTTCGTCAACGTCTCGTTCAATATGAGTCTCGTGTCCAGCACTATCAGCGAACATATCATAAGCTTCATCCGGTTCACAGTTGGAATTTTTTGGGGGTTTAATTAAATTTAATACGGTATTGGATTTGAAAAGCCCATTGAAAATTCGTACAGTGGGATTTTTGTTATATCCACCGCGCTGTCGATATTGTGAAAATAAATTTTCCAACGGGTCCTGATTCAATCTTGCTGTCAACACATAAGGAAGGTCTTCTGTTTTAATGTGATGATGAAGCATTTGTATCGCTTTAATTGATTGAAGCATTCCACTAAAGCTGGGTGGTGTGGTGGTGCATTTTGAGTTGCCTTTGGACGAACATTTTTGTAAATTGGACATTACTTCGAATCCATTTTGTAGAGCCTGTACTACTGCAGTATTTTTGTCACATAATGGACGTTGCCAAGGCTTCTTGCTGTGTACAAATTTGGAATTCAAGGCATCAAACAATCGATCTACGACTTCTACAAAATCCGCAGTGTACTTTGCCTCCTCTGGCAGTTGTTTACAGTCGATTGCAGTGCGTAGTGCAGCCGCGACACTATGACTTAAAATTTGGGTTGCCAAGCGCACACTCATTTTTTGAAATGGGTTTGGCCTTAAATGTTTATCTGTTAGCGAAACCAAAGCCCTTCCGGTAATACTTTTTTTGTCAATCTCGTATATCTGTTGAATATATGCCCAGGATATACGTGCGGTACCATCTTTTATAAAATCTTCCTGCAGTAAGTTATTACGTAAGCTTTTCACCAAATGGGGAACATCAAAAATCGCAAAATATTTGTGATTGTTGTGGATAAAAAATGGGCGGTCTGCAGTGGCTTGTAAATCTTTGAAACATTTTTGATTTACTGTCGCTTGGTCGCAGACGGTGGCCATGGGTTCTAAACCATGCTTTCGCAAATTGTCCAAGTTTTGCAAAATGATTTTTTGCAAGACGCCGGATTTTACCCCATTTTCGGAGAAATAGTAAGAAATTGGTAATTTCCAATCCGAGTAAATTCCTCTTGCCATTAGTACGAGGGCATGTTTTGCTGGTACAGGTCTCGTGCCAAATTCACCCAAATCTTCAAATCCTAAAATTTTGCCTGTTGATTTACACAGCTCTACTTCTTGCTTAATATCTATTTCGTCAAATAACAAAATGCATTGTTTTTCTTTTTGTTCCATTGATGCAGATTTTTGTTTAATCTTTTCAAAAAAGAGTTTATTAAAGCCTGGTTTGGTTTTATAGCTGCTTAATGATCTCTTTAATTTCGTCTCCGATGGTAAAATGAATCCATTGTTTAATAGAAATCTATAAGCAGTTGGAGATTTATAATAAATCCCAAAAGCCGCTTTTATTTCGTCAGCTGTCCAAGCTGTTCGACGTTTGTGATTTAATTGCATGTTTACAACTGTTCGCGGTAGAAAGTCTAAATCATCTATACTTCGAACAGCTGTCTTTGTCTGAGTAGGTTTCGTTTGTGGTTGACTTTTTGGTGACGGCAGGTCGGTTATTTTTTCGAGAAACTTCATCCCAGGAGAAGATGATTGCTTTCCCGTTTCAAGCGACCTACTACGTCTGCTGGGTGTGAGCATGTGAATCTCTTGCCTTTTCCTCTTCGGTGTTGCTGGATCAGACTCAATCACGTTTTCTGGCGATGAGAGATCTATCACGTCTCCATAACACTTCACATTAGGGGACATTGGTTGCTTTCGCGGTTCGGATAAAGGTGCAGATCTGGCAGGTGTGTCAAGCTCGCGTCTTAAAGGTTCGACATATTTGTCCCTCAATTGATCATCTTTGGAATCATAATGAAATGGTAAAGCACTGCGAGGCAATTTCGCTGAATTTTTCAAATCTGGAGAAAAGTGCTCACCACAAAGAAAACGTTTTTTCAGTTTTTCATTCTCCAAAAGTACGATCGCCGAGTTCCCGCAGAGTGTAAGCCATTTTTTACACGCTTCATCGTCATTTACAGGAAAGAAACGTTTCCGAAGTCCTGGTGTATTTCTTGCAGATTTCTTGCAATTAAGGTAAGAACATAAATTTCCAGATATTTCTCCTATAACAAGTACGTACATTAATATTGGCAGTGAAGGAAAAATATAAGAAACGTAATCAAATTACTAAGCCAATGAAATACTAATTAATCCATGCGGTAGAGAATAAAACGGTAGGCATAATCTAATATTACAAATATGAAATAATATCACAGTAACTTACCTGGATAGCTATTTCACGTCACTAATCTAACTAATAATGTCCATAAATTTACGCACAAATTCGCACCTTTAAAAAAGTTCGCCTAAACAATACAATAATCAAATAACAGCGACACACACACACCCACACAAGGTAGCTTCTACACTGTGAAATTTGACTCTGCAAAAACATTTCCTGTAGCTGACATGATAAGGCGAGTAACCAACGCTTTTGCATGAACGGAAAACATCATCACGATTCGCGAAATAAAATTTGAAACGCTACTGAGGTCATCGTAATTAATGTGTGCGCCATCTATGCGACCAATGATTCATTACGCCGTGCACAGTCTATTGTATTTGGTCTATGCTACTAGGTACGTCCGCGAGATCAGCGTGCGCTGCCTTCCTAACAAAGCCACTATTGAAACCGAAGCACCTGCGGTGTACGTCTTCAGGGCTTGACGTGTAATTGGCTAATTGCATAACTGCGACCCTCGACTCAAGGGAAGGTGTTAGAATGTAGTACTTAGTTGCTGAATCTGTTGTAAACAAGGCTCGCAAAGCGCAGTAATCCGTCACTCTTTGCGTTTCTACTTTCAATAAGCTTTCTAACAAGTTGTACGAACACATATAAAAGAAGTTGCAAATGTAAAACTGTTTATTAAAATTGGAATATTAATTTACAATAAAATTATTGTACACACCTAATCTAATTTTGTAAACTAACATTGTTTGTTGTACATTTACAAAAAGTCGTATACAAATGTATAAAAAGATATGTCTATACCAAATAAAATTTTAATCGCAGTCTGTTTAAACAGCTCTTAACTCAAAAGTTACATTTATTTCTTAATTTATCAGGCACATCACAGTAAATTTAAAACTGATAAATCCTACAACTCCAAATGCTACAATAATGTTAAAGACGCCATTCTGAGGAAAGTGCTTACGAATACCCATACAATCTGTATCACTAATAAATGAGTATTACAAAGTCTTTTAAAATTCGACAAATAACTAAAGTGATATCACGCACAAATTAAATTAATATAAAATATGCTTTATTCATAAATTATAATCAATTACACGATTTAAAATGTACAATAAATATGGACAATTAAACGAAATTCGTTAAATAAGTCTAAACGCTAAAGTCTTACTATAAATTGAGCTCATTATCAATTCCTTATGTTACTTTCAATATTCTTCGCTAATTCTGATATAACTTCACGATAAATTATAGGATCCAAATTTGTACCTAACATTAAAAGGATCCACCAGTCTCCTAAATCGACTTTTCGGGTAAGTGCCTCACATATCTCCAATGGGACCCCCCTATTTTTGGAATGCAATATTCTTGGTCTGCACTTTGGGAATGCAATAATACAAACTCGATAAAGTATCAATACACTTAAAAGTGTTGCTAAAATCACAAACCAAAACCATATAAAGATGTAGGTTTTCTCGTTTACTATATTAAGTGGTAAGATGCAAAGGCTGTCGTGCTTTTGTATGCTACCAGACGCACCATATTTATGAAAGATACATTTCGTTACTCGTGGAAAAATGAACACCATAGGATCGACTCTTTCCTCTTGCGCAGTTTCGGAAAAATTCATTACTCTTAAACCGTAGGAGAAAAATTCGCCATCAAAGAAGAGGTTCATGAAGTATAACTGCAGAAGTACGTTGAGTAAACATAGGAATTCGCAAATCCAGTAGCGAATCGCGTAGAGATTGTGTCTCTGCAACAGAAAGAAAGATCAAGAAAATATTGTGCTCTCTTATTATTATTGTATTTCTACTCCATACAATACTTGTTCATAATAATTTCCCTTTGTCCAGTTTCTCTTTCCCTGAATGGATAACGTTTATTGTGCATATCATCATAAACAGTGATGACTGATGATGGCCGAATTAATTTAAATTTTTAGACGCAGATAGGTTTAGCGGCATCGACCAATTAGATAAACTGTATAACTAGAGTACAAAGCGGTCATTTAAATTTTTTAATAAAATAATAGGCACAATTTACGTATTCATTATTTAGTAATGATACTCATGCAAGTATGACAATAATAATAATAATTTATTGTCTCTGATCAACGTTATTGACATAGACATGGTCACATGAAAGTCATTCGAACGATAACACTAAACATAGTTTGAAAAAATCTCTTAAGAGTAGAATATAACAAGTAAGAACCCAAAATGTTGAAGCAAAATGCCACAATGTAGACAAAAATTCTAAAATATATGTATACAAGATGTTCAATTGTTTTTTATACTTTTTATACGAGTCAGTAGAAAAAGCTCCTTTGTATTGAAACTTGTGGTTTACAGTTCAAACGTGTGAAAACAAAATCATCTGGGTCGCAAAAAAGAAATCCTAAAATAAATAGTGATTCTTAAACTATGTACAGGGTGGCCAACTAAAAATGCGAGGTACTGTATCTGGGAACCTATCCATCGTAGAGGCTTGCGGCAAAAAAGTTATTACTAAAACGACCAAGAGAAAAACCTGGAAAATATTTTCAAGTTTCTGAAATGGGCGCTAGGGGGCGTAACCGCATTCTTGAATCTAAAAAAGTGATGTTTCTATGAATTCCGCTATATTAACCTAATTAAATAGCTGATCTTTAAAGTCGAGGATAATCTGAACCTTTTTTGTTTGACAATTTTTTATGTATCTCTAAAACTAATGTGGTGGGATGTATTCAAAGGTTTTCGTAAGAAACACCCTATTCTTTGACTACAAATATTATAATATTTTGAAGTTTTGTTAGTTCCACATGTCGCCGCTAGAGGGCTTTTTTCGACATTTGACAGAAATGGTTAATTTTCTCAAAAAAATTAAATGCATTGGTACGTACCTATGATTTTTTTTCATGAAGAAGTAGCTAAATGATGCCTAAACAATCTCGCGAACACCGCATATCGATATCTTGTTCCTAACCTAAAATTTAGGCCAAAGACAATTTTATACCCGTAAATTTATATTTTTTTACTAATTTTTCTGGAATTCTTACTTTAGAAAAAAATCATTCTTTTTGAAAACATTACAAAATTTCGCTAAAAGGTAAGTAAGTAATTCTAATACCAAAGGCAAATTTTTTGTTTAAATTCATATTCACTATGGGTAATTAATAGAAGCAGGCCATGGACAACAAAACATATACCTAGTCAAAACATAAGTAGTCCTCAAATTGTCAATAATTGTTAATAGGGTCGAGTTACTTTGAGCAGTTTTTGTGCTTACACAATGCGTTTTACCAACGATTTAGCTGTAAATTCTAATGCCCATCAAAATATAGAGATTTCTTTGAATTTAACTTTTTTAATGAATTTTAGGCTCCATATCATGTCGTTTTGCATCAGGCCTTGAAAGAGGAAGACTTTAATCGGAGGTTGGATGTTACGCATTATAATACGCAAAAATATAGAATTTTTATTTAAAATTCTTTGGACCGATGAAGCCACCTTTACTAATGATGGGATAGTCAATCTGCACAATATCAAAGAGTAAACAATATGTATTATTGGTCTGCAGAAAATCCGCATTGGTTGCGTGAAGTATAGCACCAAGGTCGTGGTGTGGCATACTGAGAGGCAGAATTATTGGGCCATATTTTTTCAACCAATCCCTAAATGGCAATGTCTTTCTTGACTTTTGGCCAAACAATTACCGTTGTTGTTGGAAGATGTGCCACTGGAGACACGGCAAAACATTGTGCAAGTGCATATTAATGCAGTAGTTCAACGGCGGTCGATTGGAAGAGGAAGTTTGTTTCCATGGCCTCCGCAAGTACCAGACTTAACTTGTCTTGATTTTTATATATGGGGACTGTTAAAGAACATACTGTTTCAGACCGAAGCTACGATCAGAGAAAAACCGAATTCGTAATGCAATGCAATGCGTAGGTAATATCCCGAGAGCCGAAATTGAAGCTGCCGTTTTTTCTATCTATGAGAGGCTTCGGGAATGCATCGAGCATTTACAGGGGCATTCTTTTTTTAAAGCGATCCTTTTTAGGGTCACAAATTACATAATAAAAATAATTCCAGGAAAATTAGTTTAAAAAAATAAAAATGTATAAGGGTATAAAATTTTCTTTGGCCTAAATTTTAGGTTAGGAACAAGACATCGAGACGCGGTTTTCTCGAGGTTAGGCATGATTTAGCTACTTTTTAATGAAAAAAAAATCACACCAATGCATTTAATTTTTTTGAGAAAGTTAAGGATTTCTGCCGGAATGTCGAAAAAAGCGCTCTAGCGGCGGCATGTGAAAGAACAAAACTTCAAATATATTTGTAGCCCAAGAATTAATAGAGGTCCCACAAGCCAGCAGAGCCATTTTAGAAAAATGAAGGACGAATAATACATCAGAATTATAGGCTATTTATAGGCTTTTTTTTTCACTACAACAAATTTTCAGGCGGCATTCTTTAAAGAAAAAAACCATGGCTCTGCTGGCCAAAGACGAAGCTAGCTGACCACTTGTGAAATTTGCTTCGAAGACGAAAAATTCAGATCACAAAATTATAGGCTATTTATAGGCTTTTTTTAGACACTACAACAAATTTTCAGGCGGCATCCTTTAAACAAAAAAACTATGATTCTGCTGGCTAAAGAAGAAGTTAGCTGATCACATGTACGATTTGCTTCGAAGACGAAAAATTCAGATCACAAAATTATAGACTATTTATAGACCTATTTTAGATAAGCAGATAGTACTTTCACCTGCAACAAAGAAAAAACTAAGTGTCTGCTTGCTTCAGATTGACAGCTACCTAGGAATTTACGTCTACGGCGAATAATTCCCAATACTATAGGCTTATTATAGACCCTTCAAACGTAGCAATCTTTTTAATCCTAACAAACATTGTTTCATCAATGAGATCATTTTGATTTTGCCCCTCTCGGAGATATAGTAGATAAATAAAAATTATTTATTTATTGTCTATTTATTGTTCCTCTCTTGTTCTCGGCCCTCAATTGGCTTTCGCCCAATTAATATATTTATTTAAACTGTAACTTATATTGCAAAAATCCGATAGCATAGCTTGTAAAACAAATTTTTTGAATTTGCATTAGTTTTACATTTATTTGAGGTGCCTGCATACAACATGTCATTTAAATACCTTAACAAATAAAAGAAAACCGACTGTCAATAATATATAATGAAACGAATAATTTTAAATTGTTTTGGTACTTCTTTCCAATTCAGGAATATCGTTTCTTTTCTTCCCCTATAAGAGAAGATGCATAGACAACTAAGACACTTTTAACATAACTTGCTAGACAGTGAATTTTTTTTAAATGCGAACATAGGAATTTGTGTGCAATGTAATTTCCCTATGTTCGACTTTTAAAAAAACACATCAATCTATTGAGTAGTTCAAATGAGTAGTAGATACAATTGACAGCTGTCACATTTTTAAAAATACCGCCGTCCAATTTAATTACGAAATCGGATAGGTTAATGCTTAGAATGTCAAGGAGGACACTTCGAACATTTATTGTAATTGTTTTCGTTATTTATTTTCTTATTTTCTTCATTTATGTATTGAATAGATGTAATTAGTAGAATACCAGGGCACATGACCTACAAATAATTGAAGGTTGGTTCACAATGAATTGTGATGTCAGCGCGTGCCATGTCAAGTCAAGTTATCGTAAGTTTAAGAAAAATTTATCCTAAAGTTGCTATGGCCTCACATGGCTTATTTAAAAAAATCTTACCGAGTGCTCTTCATGATAAAGACTATGAGTTGCTGTTCATAGTCACACAACTTTTTGGGAATGTGAACCGCGCACACCTCATAGGTTGATGTGTTTTTTTTTAATCGAACATAGGGAAATTACATTGCATGCAAACTCCTATGTTCGCATTTAAAAAAACTCACTGTATATTTGATTTATTATTAGTAAAAGAAAATTCAATACAATACTTGACAGATGTCTCCAAACAGGTGGAACAATCCTTAACATTAAAGTTACTAGAATCTGGTAACTTCCGCAATTTTTGGGCAAAAAACCTGCGTTCTCTCTCTAACACACGGGCCCATTGGATTGCGGTACTTTCTATACTTAGTGACTTATAATGGATCTACAGTGACTGTATACCTACTGTATAGAGGCAGTTTGGTCATACTTTGGTGTTGTTTTTTTATTGGTAGTTAGAGTTTAAATAAATATATTAATCGGTCGAAAGCCCGTTGAGGGCCCAGAACAATAGAGGAAAATAATCTCATTGTTGACACAATGTTTGTTAGGATTAAAAAAATTGCTACGTTTGAAGGGTCTATAATAAGCCTATAATATTGGGAATTATTCGCCGTAGATGTAAATTCCTAGGCAGCTGTCAATCTGAAGCAAGCAGACACTTAGATTCTTTTGTTGCGAGTGAAAGTACTATATCTGCTTATGCTTGATGAATGACTCCATTTCGTTAATAGGTCTCTAATGAAGAGTGAAGGGTATTATTGTGAACTACCTATTATAATAAATTTTTCTTGTAGGCGATCGATTTCGACTTTATTGTCATCATCAGGCCGTAGCGTCAAAGTTAAAATATATTAGTGAGGTTACCTCACATTACAACCACAACATAGTTGACCGCCCCATCTACATCCATATCTGTTCACAAAAAATTGCGTATGTTACCACCATCCATCCACATTTTAATATATTTTAACTTTGACGCTACGGCCTGATGATGACAATAAAGTCGAAATGGATCGCCTAAAAGAAAAATTTATTATAATAGGTAGTTCACAATAATACCCTTCACCCTTTACTATCTGCTTATCTAAAATAGGTCTATAAATAGCCTATCGCACATGTGATCAGCTAGCTTTTTCTTTAGCCAGCAGAATCATAATTTTTTTGTTTAAAGGATGGCGCCTGAAAATTTGTTGTAGTGTCTAAAAAAAGCCTATAAATAGCCTATAATTTTGTGATATGAATTTTTCGTCTTCAAAGCAAATTTCACAAGTGGTCAGCTAACTTCGTCTATGGCCAGCAGAGCCATGGTTTTTTTCTTTAAAGGATGGCGCCTGAAAATTTGTTGTAGTGTCTAAAAAAGCCTATAAATAACCTATAATTCTGATGTATTTCGTCCTTCATTTTTCTAAAATGGCTCTGCTGGCTTGTGGGACCTCAAGAATAGCTCTATTCAAACTAACCCAAATTTGTTAAAATCGGCTCAACCGTTTCGAAGATACAGGGTGTTTTTTACGGAAACCTTGGAATACCACCTCACTACTTTATTTTTAGAGATACAGCAAGAATTTTCAAAAAAAAAGGTTCAGACTATCCTCGACTTTAAAGACCAGACATTTTCTGTTGGGTTAATGCAGCGGACTTCGCAGAAACTTCACTTTTTTAGATTCAAGATTCCAGTTACACCCGCTAGCGGCCATTTCAGAAACTTGAGAATATTGTCCAGGTTTTTCTCTTAGCCGTTTTAGTAATAACTTTTTTTTACCGCAACCCTCCACGATGGATACGTTCCCAGATAAAGTACTTCGCATTCTTATTTGACCGCCCTGCACTGTTGACCCCAGTTTTTCCAAAATAAAGGCACTTTTTTCCGTTCCGTCAAAATTTTTATGTAGGTACATTATACAAGAAACGGTTAAACATTTTGCATTTTTTCATGTAACGTAACGATTAATTCAAAAAAGAATTAAGGGATATCTAAATCATCAGACCTATACGTAATTTGTTCCCATAGACAGGGCTGGATTTAGGACTAGGCCCACAAGACCCGGGATTAGGGGTATATCGTTCTAAGGGGCGCATGGTCGCCAAACCAATTTTAATTTTTTCAAATTAACACACTTATGATCATTTCAACTTATCCAAAGAAGAGCTGCAATTAATTATACAGGGTCGGTCTTTTCTAGCTCATACATGGTAAAAATTATTTAAAAAACCTTTTGTTCACATGTAAACTATCGATGGTTGCGCATCTATAAAATCTGTTTTTGAATATACAAGGTGTCTCATTTTTACGTGGTAAATAAAAAACTGTTTTTATAAAACACTATATTTTTAGTTGTTCCGATGCTGATTGTTAACTTCTACATTGATAAAAGGCAACACTTTGATAATGAGAAAGATAGATTTAATGATACAGTAGGTTCACAATGAAATGGTTAAATTTCTGAATTTCAAAACGCCATAAATATTTTTTATTTTTTAGGAGGAACTGCCGTTATTTTATTTCGCTATTCGATAGTCTTTTGTGTTGGTTTCAAGGGTTGTAAGAGATGTTTGTGTCTAAGCCTTGCAGTTTTTAGGTTATTCAATATTTTTCACAAAAGTACCTACCCATTAATTAGTAATTAGATGTTTGTACAACGGAGTAGGCCGTGATAACAAAAAGCAAAATAATGCCAGATAGTAAATAAGTGTCACAAATTAATTATTTACTGCAAATGTACTCACTATTTCGTAGTAAAATAAGATTAATTAAAAAGACTAGTTCATCTTTTTCGAAATTCACCACTAATCTTATTTTATTACCTACTTACAAAATCTAGCATGCCGTGTGTTATATCACACAGAAAAGACCCACATAAACTGAATTGTTTCATTTTTTAGATTTACTTTTGCGCGATACGATCTACCCATGTAACACAACAGACACCGTAACAGCACACGGCATGGCATGCGAGATATCATGTTTTCTAAATATTGAATTGTCGTACTGTGGCTCTTTTCAAATATCTTTAAAAAAACATAATCTCTACATTTGAAAAACAAAATTTGCATCGATTTCCGATTAAAGTATAAGTGATACCTACTGGAAGTTTCAATATGCAATATAATTATATTTGACACATTTAACACAGGGGGGCCGGCTCGCAAGCCGCGTGCCACTCTTTTGATATAATGTTGCGGCTCTCCGCATTTCTCTAAAAGAATTTGTTTATTCTTTAGAAATTCACCTTTTTAATATTACTCTTATTTGATTACGAAATTGAAAGTACACTTGCAGCAAATAATAAATTTGTGATATTTGTTTACTTTCTGGTATTCTTTTGTTGCCTACTCCGAGGTATAAACATGTCATTAATTAATGGGTAGGTTTACTTTTGTAAAAAATATTGAATAACCTAAAAACTATGAGGACATCCCTTATAAAAAAAGACAATCGAATAGCGAAAAAATAGTGGTAATTCCATTTGAAAAAGAATAATTATAGCACAATCCCATTGAAACAAGTAAAAATATGCACGATTTAAAAAAACCTGTTATTTACTGACACCGTAAAAATGGGACACCCTGTACATTCAAAAATAATTTTGGTAAATCCTCAACCATCTATGGTTCACATTTGCACAACAGATTTTTTTAAATATTTGTTTACTCGGTATCAGCTAGGAAAGACCGACGCACCGACGACCGACTATAATATTGAATCGAAAATTGTTAGTGGCTCTTTAAAAACTGGGAAATTTAGTAAATTGTAACTTTTGGCTCTTCCGTTTCAATAGGTTGCCGACCCCTGGGTTAACAGTATAGACCATTTCCCCACAAAGGTCTCTCTGCCTTTAAATTTGCGCAGGTATTAATCAGGCACTCTATGTTTGTTGCACTATGTTGTATTTTAGGTAGGTACATTAGTGAGACTTTCGTCATCGAAATATTTTACACCCCCAGAATATTTGCCTCCGGACCAGGAGAATTCGCCTTTTCGCTCTCAGAAGATTCGCCTCGAAAGATCCGCTCCCGGAAACTTCGACCATGGAGAATTCGCTTACCAGGAACTAGTTAAAATAACAATTTAACGTTCAGGAAAGTTCATCCTTGACGTATTGGTCTTAAGAAATATCGCCTTTGCTTATACATAGCCCGTCCCAAGTTGTTGCGTTCACATAATTCTGATAATGAGATACACAAGTAGCAATCAGTGAAATTCCACTTGAAGTCATTTCAGATATTATGCTAGAGAGTAGAGTGGGTTGACTGTAAACAACAAATTATTCCACCCCTCCGCATTACTATCTGTTTGCCTACGGTAAATCTATTCCCAACTGGAAAAATTTGTTGCAAGGAAAACACGCCCTTCCGGTTCCGGTATAACAACTCAAAACGAAATTTCCACTACCTATCTAATGGCTGTTTGCACAGGTCAATTTTAATCAGAAGATGCAAGCGACTTTCGGGACCGTAAACGAACGCCTCCGCTCTGAAAATTTAACCTTTATCCGCTTTTTCGTACAGTTTTAATTTTTTATAATGGAATTTTCACTTATAATTAAAATCTGTTGCCTAGCAATTGGACAAGAAAAATTGTCAACTAATAAAATGCGACACCGAGATAAAGTGACCATTTTAACGGCAAGGGTAAAAAAGTGAAACAAATGATATAAAATTAAGTACAGAACAGAATACAATATTGTTTCCATGGAAACGACGAGAAAGGAAACTAACCACTTCAACAGTTAACATCTTTCACTCGATGGTTAAAACATCCCTTTATCGTCTTGTATAATAACTATTATTCAAGTTCTGTAAAGCAAAAGGGGGAATGGAGGTTTATCCCTGATATGCGTTTTCACGTTTTGAGGTAATAAAAGAAAGACAGGGGCGAGAATTTTCCACTTGCATTCTTCGATTTCCTTGGTCAATTTTAGTGTGACTTTATGCAGTGCCTATCAGCATATGATATCTAAAATAAGCCGCAACTCGTCATAGTCCCACTAAAATTGACCATGGAATCGAGATATACAATAATATACAGAGAGTTCTATTTAAAAAAATGCAACTTTGATATAAAACACCCTGTATAACAATTGCAATTTCGTTCAAAATATTTTTAGGTTGTAGCCTTACAACAACCTCCGACAATGAATTTTAGATATGTGGGTTAATAAACCCACAATCTTCCGCCGACGCACTAATGGTCCGACCTGTATTATATGCCATAAGATCAACATTTCAAGAAAAATGTCACAAAAAATCCGATCGGATAGTGTGATCAGTAACGGTAAGGTACTTAGAAAGTGGCCACAACAGCAGGTTTGCTGGACAATGGGTTCAAAAAATTGAAATCAAATGAAATTAGAAATGAATGGTAAGGTAATAGAATGTAACTAAGTACCTTCTAATGGTATTATGTAATTGCTTTTGCCGTTTCCATTGTTTAGGTACCTATAGGAATTTATAGTGGAATTATGTGCTTCATAAAGATTTACACAAAGGATAATGTGTTCAAATAAGTGATGTAAAATCTTAAATTTATTTGCGTTTTCTCGAAAACTAGAATGTACCAATGTTTATTTACTGCTACTTTAAATACACCACAAAGGACAATTTATGCAAGAAGCTATAAATAAAACACAAGATTTTACACATTACCTACTGTTATATTAACGTGATTACTCACAATTATTTCCCGTTGTTTATTCTCAAATCAATGACAAATCTACAAGGTCCTAAGATCATGATGCATGAAGCTACCAAGAAAACAAAGAAAATGTTAAAATTAGAAACCAACGGCGGACGTAGGTAGGTACTACATATGAATATAAAAATTAACCATTTTATAGGTTTCAAAGTAAATGACATAATTCCTTTCACAGAAAAAGACGCCAAAAACCAACCGATAACTGATGACACTAGAACCGAGACAAACATGTGGTTTACGTACAGGAACGGATGGCATGCATGACTACGAGTCGGTGACGAAAAGCGGTAAACCGAAAATCTACTTCCCAGATTTAAAAATCTAAATTCTAAAATCAACGAGTAATAAAACCACTTACGCTCAATTATGCTAATTCTACTTTTTAATTACGTTGATCACAATAGAAAATAATTAGATTTGGAGCGAAGCAATTTGTGTAATGACCGCATAATGTAGGTACCCACCTTAACGTGCTGCATTAGATATTCAAGTAGTGCTTTCTTCTTTGCATTCCTCTCACTTTCCTTACATATTCCAATATGTAAACCCATAACGAGTGTTCTCATAAGCCCACCTTCGAACGCTTCCCACAGAAATTTTGGTGTATAACACGCAATTGCCTAAAACATCAATAGATCGTGGAAGTCAACGTACACGAGGTATTAATAAAACATTACCTGAAAGAAGAGCACGAAACAGACCCATTGGTAATACGTGTAATATTTGGGAGCATCGTCTTCGTCGAAGTCGTTTGCTACGCCGGGATGGGCAACTTCTCTTCCAACCTTAAAAAAATTAAAAAAACAAACGTTATAATTATTGTAAGGCACGTAGGAAATAATAGGTTGTCAACATGTAATATCAAATTTGAACTTTGTATGATTGTTCTTAGGTATATATAACATTGGTGAAATTATAGAGGTAACGACACATACTCGCGCGAGGAAACTATTTGTACAGTGCCAGCAATTACTCTTACGTTAATTAAATAGAAAAAAATCAAGCAATGTAGACATATCCAATTAAATTCTCGTGTTACCAACATAGTGGCTTGTGCGTTTTGTAATTTTTAGCGCATTTCCACAAAAATTTTAAAAAATGCGCTATTGTGATTGTGGCCACTTTGTCCGTCCGTCCGTCCGCTCGTTTTGCGACGCTACTAGTTCTTTATCTTAAGAGCTATTGTTCTACTTTTTTCGCTATTTGGTTCGTTATGGTGTCGAGTCTTGTACCAAGGAAGGAATTTTTTCTGTACCGCTTACAAAAAAAGTTATTGTAAAAAAAACAAAAACCGTTTTTTACATGTTCCATAATTTTACACTTTTGTCGTTTATTAACGATCCTAGAGATCGTTTATAATTTTGCATTGCTATCTGTCGCCTGCCGGTTGGTCTCTCCGTCTGTTCCTTTGTCTGTCTGTCCATCTATCTGTCCATGTGAACAATAACTTTGTTTAGAAATGTTCGATCGCTTTTACATCTCCGTTAGTTATGAACTGAATTGCATGAAATTCAATATGGGCATAGCTTTAGCCATATAATACGCAATGCCAAAAGTCGAATCGATTCAAAATTCACAGTGCCCTTTTCGCATCTCAACCATTTATAAAACGAATTGCAAACTTTTTTACTTATGAAAGTATTTGAATGAAATTTGATACATGGGCACTTAGAATAAAGGAAAATCTAGCGCCAGTTTCAAAATTTTATTTTGCGCATGCGCAGTGCCAATTTTTTAATCTATGGAAGCATTTAAGTGAAATTTGATACTTAGGCGCTTGGAACAAAGGAAAATCTAACATTAGTTTCAAAATTTAGGTTTGCGCATGCGCAGTTCCAACTTTCTTATTTAGAAAAGCATTGAAATGAAATTCTTCTCATAAACTGAAATTGAAGTAACACGTCAAAAATGGATTGCCCATGTGCAACGCTATCTGTCATATTTGTGGCCGGATTTTTACGATTTTAACAGAAGTTGCATCTTACAAATGGGAAATGAAGGCAAGTGGAAATGCGCTTTATGTAAATCGTTTACGATTACTTTTTAACTTGTTCTTTTTTTATGGCAGTTGTAATATAAAGGACATTTACTACGTTAAAAGAAATAGGTAGCGTTCCTACGTTAGAAATTGTTTTCTGAACAGTAAAATTTCAAAAACTGACAAACTTAAACAAAAGCTTACTACTCAGTTACAAATACCGTCTGTCCTTATAATGTTTTATTAACAGCAGCCACTATTGCCTATCTTAAAATATTAAAATATTCCCGTGAATTTGGGTGCGAAATTTGGGCGGCTCGACAAAGAATGAATGTGCCTGTTTTCGAATCCAATGTACCTCACTGTACCAAAATCCATTGTGCCTATCGTTCAATTCATAAAAATCACCAACAACGCCAAAAATATTTTGAATCAATCCTCAAACGATTAATGTACTTTCTTCAAGACGCAATCTACTTGTCAACTAGCAACACTGAAAGATTCTAGAATTACTGACTTATTACATAAAAAAGTTAACATCCCAGCATCTTAAAGCAAGAACAAGGAATATGTATGCAAAAGTATAGGAACTACTGGAAAGACAAGAAACGAGAAAGTATGAAATCTTCCAAACAAATAGTTACCAAATCCAAATCCCATTGTACACTATGGGATCTGTATAACTCTTCCTGTCATTGACAAATTACCTCCGGTTACGTAGCTATCAATAAGCCTTGCACTAGTTTGACTTGATTCTATTTCGGCAGAAAGATAAAATGGGAACTATATTCGTTGTCATGAGCTTCTTGCAATATTTTATTCTAATTGCGCAAGGAAAAATGAAGGTTACACAACTACTAGACTGGTGTTACTAGTAAAAAAGGGTAAGTACTGTAGTTTGCGTACGTTGTAACTAGTCATTAGAGTTTGATCTGAAAATAACGCAGACATCATCAACGCCAGCCAATACTCCCTACCCACCGAGCTACCCACCTTTCAATACGGCTTTCAGCATTCCGTCATCTCAAATGACACTATACAGGGTGTTTCGAAATTCGCGCACACGGACTGTGGGATGGTGTTATACAACGAAAACTGAATAAAAAGTTCCTCTACCAGTTTTTGATCAGACCGGCACTTTTTTTTTCGACGTGCTGAAGCTTGTTTACTAGCAGACGGCGGACATTTTGAACAACTGTTGTAATTACGTACTCGTCATAATTATAGTTTATTTTGAACCTTCTTTTGTTTTTAAAAATGTGTTATTATTAAGTTTAACCAGTGGCGCAGCGTAGGGGGGAGCGGAGATTTTTAAAACCGCGGTAGCTCGAAAAATAGCGGTCTGATGGAAAGCTGGTAGAGGAACTTTTTGTTCAGTTTTTGTCGTATAACACCATCCCATAGTCCGTGTGCGCGAATTTCGAAACACGCTGTATAGTCTCTAATCAATCCTCACAAATAAGACCTAAATCGTCAATAAAAAACGGCATTGGCTGACTGGGCATGCAGGGCAGCAGAGAAATTCTCAACCACTCACCCTCAAATGGTCTTCCTGCTTAAATAGTACTGTTAAATATAAAATTTAAAATTTATTTTATCGCTTTGCCTATTTTATTATCTCTAGGTGCAGCGCAGAGTGCAGTTTTAAAACTCACTTGCCGAATATTCGTTCAACGATACACACGCCAACTGCATCAAGTTCAATTTCATTTTGTATTAATTATTGTGATACTTGTATACGTCAATTTCACACAAATCCTTTCTTTCCGATCCTTTCATTTGTGTAAAGATCATAGAGACAAAATATTTGGGGGTAAGTCATTTTTTTATTATTTTATCACTAAAAGATTAATCAAAATTACAGTCCGCTTTTCGCTTTTGTAACAAGTACTAATATAATCGATTGAAGTGAAAGAATGCACTCAAACAGAATAACAGCATCATTTTCAGTTATATCAGAAATTAAACATCGACATGAGTAATTAAATTACTGATATTTGGCCCTTGTAAGATTTATACAGGGTGTAACATATAAGTACGAGTCGAGGTACGAGTATAGGTACAGGTTGTATCAAATTTTATGTTAAGTACAGAGATCTCGCTTATTAGCATAGATAGAGAGTTGGTTAAAATGGACAAAAACTATCCTGGAGTTATGCCTAAACTAAAGAAAATCAACAAACAAAATTCGCCCCCTGTCTAAAGTTTACTAAATATGGCGAAAAATAACTTAATTGGCGTTTTTAATTTTTGGCTTTAAAATCATTATTACGGAAGATATTTAAAAACAAAATTAAATTCAGGTTTTTTATTAAAGAAATTCGATTGTTCATGGATGCTTTTGGGAAATGTCACTCAAAATGTTTAACTTTTAATTTTGAACTTATTTTGAGTTTTTTGCCTGGTTTTTTGTAAACATGTTATACCGTTCTTTAATCAGGATTTTTTCTCATTTCCATCATCTAAAAGAAAGCAAGAGTTCTTAATCCCCAAAATCAAGAAACGTCAATTATGTAATTTTTCGCCATATTTAAGAAACTTTAGAGAGAGTGTAAATGGTGATTATTGATTTTATTTAGGCATAACTTGAGGATCATTTTTGTCCATTTTACCAACTCTCTATGTCTATCTATGCTAATAAGCGTACGAAATTTACGAAATTTTGTATTAAAAGTCGATTTCGGGTAAAATTTTATACAAAACTCGTCAGTAAAATGTCATTACCTGACTCGGAAATTAATTTTTAATTATTTCCTCGCCAGTAATGTATCATTTTCCTGACTTTTAAGTAAATAACTATTTTCAATGAAGTCGGATATTGCAGCTATAACATCAACGACTTTTGAGGTTGTTTTTGGTTCATTCGAGATCTCTTGTTCTATATGAAATTGATATTTCATATTAAAATACGATTTCGGGTAAACTTTAATACAACACTCGTCGATAAATGGCATTACTTTACTCGTAAATCGCCAGTAATGTATCATTTTCCGAACTTTTATGTAACTAACTATTACGGGTGGTAACAATATTTTGAGCACCGTTAGAAAGTTGAGAAAAATTCACCAAGGTTTTGTTAACATTATTTTTCGGTATACATATAACTCGTCTTGGGATGGAGTTGGAGAGTTATCTTTTTGCCTATTTCCCTCTCGAAATATATTTCTGGGGGTAATTTTCCTGCACCGACCACGCCTACGGCATCAGAGAAAGTTACTCCAACTAATTCTTTAAGATCTTCACACATTGAGAACAAGTTCTGCTTTACTCTGTGCGTGACGTAGCGTTTTAACAATTCCTCCTTCACCTTCCATTTGGTTCCTGTTGTACAGCCACCGATGTTATTTAGTCCGCACTTGTACCATATATCATTATTAATTAAATTTTTATTATACCTGAATCACAATCTCCGTTTTAAACACTCAAATGCGTGCGAAAAAGGGCCTTTAAAACACACGTGCTTTAAAGTTGCTAAGTAACGATACTTCAAGTATGACTTTTGAAACTGTCATCTGGATGAAATAAAAATCCTCTTAGGTCGCTTTCTGTAAATGCAGAACATTTCTTTGGCTTTTGTACCTATCCTTTGGTTGAAGCTTTCACAAACGCGCGTAATTTAGGGTATGCTTCCAAATCTGTTCCACTTTTTAATCGCAGCATTGCTTTAAAGTTTTGAATGAATGCACCAAAATATAGAAGATTTAAATACCTTTGACATTTCCTTCATATATGCCAGCATTATGGATGCATTTAAGACTGTATTCGTAAGTAACTTCCTATTCATCCATGGAAACAACTTTTCATATT